CGTAGCCGTAACGATGCAGCTTGCGGGCTGCACCGTTACAAGTTATATAAATAACACATTTTAAATTATTTTTTATATTTATTTTTTATATAACATACATTGCCATCGTTTTACTATCATAATATTTTTTTTGATGTCTATATTTTTTACACGCAATTTTACAGCGAAAAGTAATAAATTTTTCAAAAATTTTTTTTTTTAATTTATGACAATCTTGAATAAAGTTACATGTTATATTAACAGTAAACAGTTTTTTCAGTTGTTTTAATACTTTTGTGTGATTGTTGTATTTCTTTATTATACTTTCTAAATATATATTCCATCTGTAAGAAAATATTAAAATGTTGCTTGATTAACAAAAAATAGAGTATCCTTTTTGAAACAACTGTGACGTGACATTTTTAAGTCCGTCACAAGGGCGAGAAAGCCCGATCGAGGAGGGAAATTTGAGGTCGGAAACCCCACCGCGGGGGGCGACGACCTCTCCCTCTTAATTCTCTTTTTGAGATTGTAGATTTTGCGTTGTAACGAATTATGCGAGTCGGGGTGAGTGGCCAAACTCCCATATTGTGATTAAAGTGGAGCAGCCTTCGTGGGACCTGCGAGGGACTCAGCAGACAGGACGACGGAGGCTCGGACGGCGTGTAGACAGATCCGGAACAAGGTCAAGTAAAATATCCTTGAGTAAACAATTAGATTCCAGACAAAGTCGCTACCGTAGATACAATTGCAGATTTGGAGCATATCGAGGCCGGTGGACGCACCGAGAGAGATGACGCCCGAGAGGGAAGCGCGCTCTCACGCGCCGAAGACCCGGAGTGGAGTACCCGAAAAAGGAGCTGTCGTAACGAGCCAAAGCAGAATCAGGTCGGAACCTGATCAGTTCCCGGCCGATTCAGAGAAGGTTCGGATCCGTAAACGGAAAAGGCCGCGAGGGGCGTTAACGGCAGCTGCCCTAAGAGAGAGACTGGGGTCACCTCGGAGAAGCGTCACCGAGGGCCGAAGTATCGAGGAGCGACGCGAGCATCGAGATCTAGTAAACATCGAAGGATCAAGAATCGCTAATCGATAGCGAGGATCTACATGCGCAGGACGATGCGCGGAATGTCACCGCTGTCCAGCGAGCCTCGCTGTCGTCACTGTTCGGCGAGTCGGCAACCTGAGAGGAACCTCAAGGACCACAACGGGCGTACCGACGTTTTGTAAGGCCACTACTTCGACTTCGCGGTAAGAGCGGTATCAGTAGGCGGCCCGAGCCTCGCGGAAATAAGAACCCGCCTGGTTTTCGTGAAAGAGTATGAAGAGTATCGAAATGTCTCGCGATATTGTGCGAGGTTAGATTTAGGCCGGGCCCCGCTGACTACCGCTTCTATAGAATAAGATTCTACCATGCTATCCCCCTCGGGGCTGCCGAGCCGACAGTCGTTTTGCGTTAATTAATGTTTCTCGTTCATGAATGATAATTTCGCGTCTATTTGTGTATTGCTGTACCGAGTGTTAGAATTTTTGGGAGTTAGCCTATCGCGTATCTCTCGCCTCGGCCTTCGGTCGAGCGTTTACATTCAGAGCCGTAAGAATAATACTGAGATAGAGTTTGTATTGTAGGCTAACCGTTATGGAGAAAGATTGAAGTAGAGCTAATTGTAACAACCGCACCGAATGAAAGTTACTGAATTTGTACGCCGAATATTATACCGCGTGAGACGGAAGTACGCGGATTTCCGCGAGTTGAACAGTGAAAATCATGACGCCTCTCACTGAGATAAAAATATGTCTTCACTTCGCGGGGATTGTTAAGACGCCCATCACCCGGCGTCAATCTCACTTGATTACTCAATTATCTATATCACCTCATTACTGGAAATACATGTTATTTGTTACTGATTAGTGTGTTCTTAATAACCGTCTATTTCAGACTCCTCTCTCCAAACCGGGTTAGCATCTCTAAAGAACCTCGCCCCTCTGCCATTTGTAGAGTGGGCTAGTCGCGCTTATCGCCGTTGCTCTTTAAAGAGAAATATTGACTCTAACGTAATTTGTTCGTGTGGCGCGTTAATCCGCGCCTGGCGCCCAACTATAAGTTTTGCAATAATTATTAAGATCTATAAAATAGAGCAACGAGGTTTGACACGCTTACCGGCGGGTGTACTTCTGCCCGACGGAAAAGTCGTCGCACAACGTATTCGTACTAATTTAGAATATTCAAGCACATCACCATTTTTCTTACGTACGGAACATATACAATTTTTACAAAGTTTTGTTTTTTTGCAAACTTTGAATTACATAACTTGCAATGCTATACATATAATATATTTATTTCAATATTATTAAATACAGGGATATTTTCCATATTTATTTTTATTTTATTAATATTATTATTATTAATATTATTAATATTATTATTATTAGTATTTAAAAGTGTTTTCTTTTTTTTGAATTTATAACATCTAAAAAGCTTGTTAAATAACTTCTGTCATCTTCTTCATAATTGCTTTGTGACATATACCGTAAATATAACAAAACAGAATTAAGTTTTAAATTATGTTTAAACTGTAACGCATTAAAAATAGGATTCTTAAATCTAATTACTGAGAAGAGATTTTCCTTAAAAGTACCGAAAGTCCAGCATAGTACAGTACAGTACAGAATTTTTGATCAAAAATGGCGGCACCAATCAAAATCGGGAACGTGTTTGCGCGACTCTTATTAAAGGGTCTCTAAGATTGACCAGCAGGCGGCGCCAGCTCGTGGCAGCCAAATTCGGCTATCGACAATCAAGATCTATAGAGAGAAGGTTACCTCATACGCAAAGAGGGACGAGCGGCAAGAGGGGCAATGATGATGTCATCTGCGAACAGAGCTATCTCAGACAGTTACTGTTCGCCGATGAGATCATCATGCTCTCTCTTTCCTTCATCGTCCCTCGCTTACAACCAGTTACTGAGGTAACCTTCTTTCTATAGATCTTGATCGACAATTGCAAGCGATGATCGATACTGCGCGAGCGCGATCACGCGCAGTAATCAGGGAAACCGGGAAGGCTCTCGAAAATACGAGAATCTTTCAAAAAGTCAACCTAATGAGAGAAAGCTCAGCGAGAATCATTCTCTATTGAAATACTGAGCCGAATAGTCGAAAAGTAAAGTAGAAAGACAGTCGTGAATCGTTAGTCGAACATTTTAACTTTGTTAATTTATCTGTATTTCGCATAGATTAAGAAATTATAAGTTGAGTGCTTTAAGTTAAAATCAGTGTCGATTTTTATTGAAGTTCCATCCTATCGAACTTTATCCTAGTCGAGCCTGAAGAATTAACTTTTATTATTAACAAGTGATAACAAACAAGGTCGTCGATAGGACGTAACCGTCCTATCGTTTAAATTAACGCAAGTAAAAGACTTTTCGAGACGTTTTATTTTAAAGAAATTACACAAAGTCGAGTCGAAGTCGAGAGAAACTCAAGTTTCTTACAGCTCAGAAGTGGGATAACGGGCTCTTCAAGTCCGTGTCGGGTCGAAAGAACTGAAAAATCGTTGTCGTGTCGAGTTGGAACTGATTACGGGCTCTTCAAGGCCGCGTCGAGTCGAAAAAGTCGAAAAATCCTTGTCGGAGTCGTGTCGGACAGAAGAATGCCGAAAACTCGATCAATGATGGATCGAGAGGAGCTGGAAAAGCTTCGTTAAAACAATTGCAGAAAGAGGCTCGGCATTATCAATTGCCATTGATTAATAACCGAGACCTTCTAATAGAATCGATTCTAACTCACCTAGAGAGGACTGGACCTACTGAGAGGACGTTGGAGACGCCGCGGACGTTGGAAACGAGCGAGGTCCACGTTCCAGCAGAGTCGTCTTCGAGGTGAGCCACCGAAACAGAGCCGCTGAACGCAGGGGCACTCTGCCAAGCTATCACGGAGATGACGGCGATGATACAGCAACAGCAGAGTATGTTGCGCCAGCAACAGGAGCTGCAGCAGCAGCAGCAGTTCATGCTCCAGACGATGCAGCGGCTGGCTCCTCAGGAAAGTAACGGGTCGGTAGGCCGAGACGAAGGGGCAGCAGGCCCAAACAGTCCAGAATCCCTGTCAAGAGCAACGCAAGGTATTGTGACCACAAATTCAAATTCTGTGACTAACGGTCAAACTTTTACAAACGCAAACGCCTTATCAGCCGGAAATGCGGTGAGCTGGTTGGCCTCACAGTCAGTTCGACTACCCGGCGCTCAAAAATAAAAACGGCGGGAAGTCGCCGATGGCTCAGCGGTCGTCAACGGCCACAGCGGCGGCTGCCGTTTCTGTCGAACCAGAGAAGGAGGACGTAGTGGCTTTTATTTCGATAATTCTAGAGCAAAAACTGGAAATTGCCGAGCCATTTGTCGAAGTTACGAGCGTCTGTGGACAGAAAAGGAAAATTTTCACGTTAATAGATACGGGAAGTCCCGTTTCGTTTGTAAAAAAAAAAATTTTTATAAGTTTAATACAGCCGTTTGTAGAAGATTGTAAGCCGGCAAATAAAAATTTAATTAATCTCAGCCGGAAACGTTTAAATGTAGACGGTATAGTACAAGCGGAAATAACGTTGAGCGAACTAGGCGGAAAAAGTTAAAAATCGATCTGTATGTACTAGACGAGCCGTTTGAAGGAGACATGATTTTAGGAAGAGAGTTTTTGGATAAACAAAAACTCACCTTGATCAGACGTTTCCGTGAGTCAGCAGAAAACACGAGTTCTGTTAGCCTCTTTGAGCAATTGCCGTTATGCGTAGCCGATGAGTATACCGAAAATCTGAAAGAAGATTTAAAAAATGAGATTGATTATTTAGACAAGAAAACGAAAAAAGATTTGATAGATTTAATAGTTCGTATAGATAAAAAAAAAATCTTACCGGTAGATGACGATTACGAGGTGCAAGTACACTTGAAAAATGACTCCATCTATGCATATGCGCCGCGGCGTTTCGCGTACGCGGAGCGCATGCAGATCCGGATGATTACCGATGACCTCTTGAAATGAGGAATCATCCAAACAAGCGTCTCGCCGTATTGCGCTAGAGTAATTCCTGTAAGGAAGAAAAACGGTCAGATTAGACTTTGCGTTGACTTAAGGCCATTAAATAGTCGGGTGATCAAACAAAAAGATCCGTTTCCGATTATCGAGAATTGTTTGTCGCGCTTAAGCGGCATGTCGATTTTTCTTCTCGATCTAAAAGACGGATTCTACCAAATTAAAATGCATGCCGATTCGACTCGTTATTTTTCATTTGCTATGCCAGACGGGCAATTCGAATACACGCGCTTACCTTTTGGGTATTTGGAAGCACCAGCCGAATTCCAAAAACGGATTATTCAGATCCTGAATCTGCTTATTCGCATTGATAAGGTGATCGTGTACATCAACGATGTGCTGATTCCGATGAGATCAGTGCGCGAGAATTTCGAGATCTTGAGCGAAATATTGATTACCTTGAAGAAATACAGTTTTGAGTTAAACTTTAAAAAGTGCTTGTTTTTGAAAAGGGAAATTGAATTCTTGGGATACGTGATAACAGAAAATGGAATAACCTTAAGCCCAAGGCATACGAAGTCGGTGCGAAATTACAGACAGCCATCTAACGTACACGGGGTACAAAGATTTCTCGGTCTTGCAAGTTATTTTAGGAAGTTTATTAAAGATTTCGCGATTAAGGCCAAACCGTTACGTAATTTATTGCGAAAAGAAGTGAAATTTACTTTCGATGCGAATTGCGTCAGCGCATTCGAAAAATTAAAACAAGAGCTTACCTCTTCACCGGTCCTGGCACTATATAATTCGGCACTAGAGACGGAACTGCATACAGATGCGAGCAGTGTCGGTCTAGGCGCTATCCTGCTGCAGAAACAGAAAAGCGGGGCTTGGTGTTCGGTGGCGTATTTCAGCCAGACAACGAATCAGGCTGAAATAAATTACCACAGTTTTGAGCTCGAGATGCTTGCAATTGTGAGAGCGATTGAGAGATTTCATCTCTATTTATACGGCCTAACGTTTAACGTCGTGACCGATTGTAATGCACTGGTACACGCCGTATCTAAGGCGAACTTGAACCCTAGAATCGCTAGGTGGACACTCACCCTTCAAAATTATAGTTTTCGGGTGACACACCGGCCAGGCACACGAATGGCGCACGTAGATGCACTCAGCCGATGCGTAGCGTACGTACACGAGCTGCCTTTGAAATGTGAGTTCGAATTCCGTCAGCTCGCGGATCCTAAAATAAAAACAATTTACGAGGAATTAGAATTTAAGGATAGTAATAATTTTGAATTAAATAATCGATTGTTATATTATAAAATAAACAAAAATTTAAATTTTGTTGTACCTGAGGCGATGGAAATCAGCGTGATCCGTGTACATCACGATGATATGGCCCACTGTGGCCTAGAAAAAACAATCAAAGGAATCAGTCAGAACTACTGGTTTCCCTCAATGCGTAAGAAAATGAATAATTATATCGAAAACTGCCTAACCTGTATTATGGCGAACGATTCCGCAACACGTTTCGAGGGAGAGACGAATCTCTACCCCTCGCCGTCAGCGCCGATCGAGATACTGCATCTCGATCATTTTGGGCCGTTGCAACAATCTGAGGACAGATTTAAACACATTTTAGTTGTAGTCGATGCATTTACTAGGTTTACGTGGCTATGTCCTACGAGGACTAAGAAGTTGTAATGTTCTTAGAGAATTTATTTGCAACTTTCGGAAGGCCAAACGAGGTGATTTCAGATCGGAGGACAGCCTTCACCTCGAGAGAATTTACCGAATTTTTAGAAAAGTTTAATATTAAACATAGAAAGGTTGCCGTAGCAGCCCCATGGGTAAACGGGAAAGTATAGCGGATGAACAGGTTCATTAAATCATCACTCATAAAATTATGAATTAATTAACATCCCAGACGAGTGGAAAAATAATTTGGGTACGTTACAATATGTAATTAACAATACTTACCACGCCGTAACGAAGTCGAGCCCGTCGAAGCTGCTGTTCGGCTTCGAGCAGCGCAGCCACGCCGATCACAATTTTGCTCGTTTCACCAAGGCTCTAACCGGGCTGGATACGGACCTGGAACCCAACCGTGACGCGATAAGACAGACAGCGCAAAACGCAACAGAGTCAATTAGAGCATATAATAAAGCGTATCATGATTCTAGTCGTAAAAAACAACCGTCTATAACGAGGGCGACTTAGTCATGATAAGAAATCAATCAAAAATAAGAAATCAAAATCAAAGGCTACACCCGGGAAAAGCGCGAAGCTTCGTCCGAAGTACGTGGGCCGTACGCCATAAAAAAAGTTCTCGGAAATAATAAATATGTAATACACGACATACCAGACTTTAACATCACGGCGAAGCCTCTTGATACAATTCTATCTTGCGATCGCCTCAAGCTGTGGATCAGATGCGGTCCGTCTGAGGAAAAATAAGCAAAAAAAAAATTTTAATCGTTCCCTTTTGATTTTTATCATTTTTGTATTAATTAATTAAATGTTTTGATATAACATAGCATTTCTAGATGTAAAACTTCATAATGAATTAAGTTATGAAGCAAACAGTTTAAACTAATGAGATACTCACAGCGTTTATATCCACACGAAATACGAACTTCGATACGCTGTCATTCTCACTGCACAAATTGCGCAACAATTTTTAGTAAAGCGAACTTCGGGGCGAAGTCCAGCGCCAGGACGGCCGAGCTGAAAGATTGCGCCGAGATCGACCAGCAGGCGGCGCCAGCTCGTGGCAGCCAAATTCGGCTATCAACAATAGCAAGCAATGATCGATACTGCGCAAGCGCGATCACGCGCAGTAATCAGGGAAACCAGGAAGGTTCTCGAAAATACGAGAACTTTTCAAAAAGTCAACCTAATGAGAGAAAGCTCAGCGAGAATCACTCTCTATCGAACTGCTGAACCGAATAGTCGAAAAGTAAAGTAGAGAGACAGTCGTGAATTGTTAGTCGAACATTTAGACTTTGTTAATTTATCTGTATTTCGCATAGATTAAGAAATTATAAGTTGAGTGCTTTAAGTTAAAATCAGTGTCGACTTTTATTGAAGTTTCATCCTATCGAACTTTATCCTTTTTTTTCAGAGATGAGAAAATCTTTTAAAGTCATTCTGACTCGTACCAGGGTAGTGCTGGATTCAACCGGGACTTGTATCAGGACAACCCCTGGTATAACCGGATAAGAATTGCCTCCCCAGCCTAACCAGGATCAGACATCTCATGCGGGCAAGAGAATATCAGATACCCAGAGACAAGAAGGGAGAGCACATCCATCAGCCACACCAGACCCGATAACGCATCTCGACCGCCTACCAGCTAAAAACTCACCTCAAGCCCAACAGGCCCCAACGTGAGAGAGAGGCAGGCTTATTAAATAGAGCATATCTCTGCCTCTTCTTCAGGACTGCCTCCAAAAAAGGAAGGCCCAAACAAGACAACGGAAACTACAAACGCGCGCTACTTACAAAAATTAATACTACTACTTATAATTAAGACTACAGAATGACGCAACGCCAGTATAATTAAATACTCGAGTTGCCCGATCAAGTTGGTAGCAAAAAGCTAACTAATCTATTCTTATCTAATCTATTCTTAACTAATATAAAACAAAATCAATCAATAGTAAATATATGATATCTTAGTCAGAAACTTTAGAGTCCAAGTGTTTAATCACCTGACTCTTATTTATAGCCTGTCTATCCCTTTCAGCCGCCTCTTTACAAGTAAGAACCCTAGTGCAAAATAACGAAAAGGCCTTCCAATTGTCTATGCTGTCCAGAATTGATTCGATAACGGGAGATCGAGCTTACCCCGATAACCCGTACCAAATCGCTTTTTTCAGCATCCCAGGCGCTGCAGAACTGGAGGATATGCTGAGCAGTATCAACTTCAGCTAAGCAGTGAAAGCAGAATACAGTCTCTACTTAATTTATTCTATATAGGAACTCATTAAAACATCCATGACCCGTAAAAAACTGGGTCATGTGATAGGTGATCCAACCATGTTTCCTATTGGACCAATCTTTCAACCTATCAACCAACGCATTACGCAACCTAAATCCGGACTGGTTGTCGCGCATCTCCAATAGACTCACCCTCCAATCCAGCAGGGCCTGGTCCTTCGCTTCAAGGTATCACTTTACCCTAGAACCAGGGGAAATCTCCTCGCCTTCGTTCATAGCTGCCCTAATCCTACAATATACAGCCGCCATTCTCTGTGCGTGAAACTCTAGCGGGGGGTTCCGGACAGGATTGATGCCGCAACAAAAGAAACTGTGCGATATGCGCAACAAACCCTTTGAGTGATCCTTCTTATAAGCCTGTTCATCAAGGTCCTAGCTCTTCGATTCTGTATAAAGGATCTCGACCACACAGGGGCCCCATATAATATCATGGATAAGACCATGTTAAGGTACAATTTCCTTCTTTTTTCATTAAGTCCTCTGCAATTAGGCATGATTCCCCTCAAATAACCAATAGTCTTGTGAATCTTTAAGAACAGTCTCTCAAAGTGGTATGTGAATGTCCAGTCCCCATCCAGAAAGATACCTAGGTACTTCAGGGATGGGGCTATAGAAACCTCCTTATTTTTTATTACCAATTTATAAGAACCATGCCCAATCGCAGAGGCCGGAAAGGTCATTGCCTCGGTCTTATGAGGTGAGATCTTGAGCCCAAGTTTCTCGATCTCTCTAATAACAATACCAGCCACGACCATGGCAAGGTTAGAAGTAACATTCAAATTCTCTCCAGAAACAAGCAAAACGGTATCGTCCACGTAACCGAGTAGACTACAGCCCGTCGGAAGGGCCAGGTTGAGCACGCTGTATCCGATACTCCACAGGGTTCGGTCCTTGAACCGAACACCGCGAAACACATTTCGCCTTCTTATACCACCCCACAGTGGGCTGAGAGGACGGTAAAATTGGCCAAAATTACTATTGACCATCAAATTCTTAATTAGTTAAAACATACTTATGTAATATTTTTGGTATCGCTGATTATAAATCTGAAGTAAAAATTACAAAATTCAAAATCGGCGGATCCAATATAGCGAACATAATTTCAAAAATCTTAGTGTAAGAGTTTCTTTTTGAGTTCGCAGATTTTAAATTTATGTCAAAAATTGAAAATGGTACAAGTACAAATGGTTGAAAAATAAAATTAATTATTAATTATATAGTCAATGAATTAGTATTTTCTACATAATCATAGTTATAATAATGAATATATGCCTAGGATCAGCCTACAGAATTTAAAAAATTGTAGTTTCCAGGGCCCACCACGAGGAGGTTGCAGGCAATTAAAGACCCCTTTTTTTTTGTATTTTTGTATATTTAAATTTTTTTTATGTTTTTATATATTTAAAATTTTTTTAATTTTTGTTTTTTCGGTTTTTTTAAATATTTAAGCTAGATTATTGTTGCTCTTCAGTTAATTTAACATCGCATAGCTTTTCATAAAATTCTGGAAGACCACTCAAGTCTTCTTCAGATTTTTCAGCAATTGAACTTGTTTCATCAATTTTTGGAATATCAAGCAAATTGATCACTTCTTTTAGAATTGTTTAATATTTCTTTTTTTTAAGTCGTGAATCAAGACTTAATGTTGATATGACTGGGTCAGAAGAATCCATAGCTCTATTAAAAACATCTTCCAGTGTTGCACGGCGAGTAAATTTTCTGGCGTGATCAAATCTGAAGCGTTTATAATCTTTATTTCTAGATTCGGATGCTTCTTCTCCTAACATTCCAACTGGCAATAAGCTATGTTTAACAATAGCTGCACCATGTATGAGAATTTTGTGAACTGAAGAAGGCATCGGAAACCAATTGTACATATTAACATAGATTTTAGCAGTTGCTGAGCATA